TTCTTGGATAGACTCCATTTTTATGTTTTCTTCTCATTTTCAGCTTGGAACAACTTGGTATTTTGTATTTAGACGTTTGGAACAGTGCCCACTTGGGGGTTTTCAATTTTTTTGCATATTGGATCTTTGAGTTTCGGTTTCCAGTTCTTTCATATATATGATGAAGTATTTTTGTTCATTTATGTATTTGCAATTCATTTCCATGGCTAGCTAAACTTTGAGTATTGATTCCTTGAGGAGAATGTGATGAACCCTTGAAAATTTTTTGTTTTGAAGCGTTTCTGCCATGTCCTGTTTTGGTTTTCATCTAATTAACTTTGTGCTTGATAAAGGGATCACAAATTTGATGTATGCTTAACCTCATATTTGTGTTCTTGCATTTAAACAACCCCTGTTCATGCTTAATGGATGTGGGTTGCTACATGGTTGCTTAATCCGTAGCACCAAGGTTGAATGATGTATGCTTGCTTAATGCATATTGGACTCATTTTTAGTCTTCGCTTAGTAATTTCGGGTTTCAAGATTGAACAAGACATTCATTTTGGTAATCTATGATAGGTGGATTTACATTTGAATTAAGGAATCAATACGTTTTTAATTTCTGCTTTTGTCACTGTTTCTGTTTTGTAGAATTTAAATTGTGTCCTATCTGTTTAATCTACAAACCAACCCCCCCATCACTGTTTTATCTGTTTGATGTGTGAATCTTTGATTGAAACTAATGGTCCTTGAGAGACGACCTAGGAGTCACTTCCTAGTACTGCATTTATCTGCATTTATTTGACTGAGTATGACACCGATAATGGCTGGTCTTCTCCTTCATGTCCTCACCCTGCACAAAAAGCCAAGAGGATGGAGCAATCGAAAGAACAAAATCGCGAGCTCACTGCCAAGCTTAACCCTATAAAGGAGAAAATGGCCCAGTTAATGAAGCACATAGAAGAACAGAACTGCAAGCTCATCGCTGAGCTTAATTCCACGAAGGAACAGATGATGCAGTTAATGGAACTAATGCGCCATCAACATAAAGGCATCCACACCGACCACATAGGCGAAAGGGTGGAGCAAGGGCTGAAGAGCGGAATGATCACTCAACCTCCCGCTCCGAATGCATCATTCAAGAAGTTCCTTAGCAAGAAGGAGGAGAGAAGCGTGAATGCCATCAACCTTACTACTCCTTCTACCTCTGCGCAACAAGCTAGGCAGCCACGAAAGCAAAGAAAGGATTTCACCCCCATTCCAACCTCCTATGGGAGTCTGCTACAGAAGCTGTTAGAGACCAAGCTCCTAGCACACATCCCTCCGAGGAAGATTGATCCACCCTACCCTGAGTGGTATAAGCCTAACGAAAAATGCGCTTACCACTCAGGCGCTCCTGGGCATTCTGTGGAAGATTGTCGGGCCTTGAAATACAAGGTCCAAGAGTTTTTGGATGCCGAGTGGCTCACTTTCGACTCCGCCACTCCTAACATGGATATCAAGCTTCTATCGCCACTAGAGTAATGAGGAGGGATAGAGAAGGCTAGGGCTCTTTATGTTTTTTAAGTTTCCTGCATATCTCTCGCAGTCCCCGCCCGTGGTCGCGAGATCCTTGACTAAAAGGGCTTTATAAATATTTTTCCTTTATCAATATAATGAGGCATTTGCATAAACATTCATATCTTTTTCATTCTTTCCTACCGCATTATTATTTCAAAATAAATAATAAAAAAAATCTAAGCCTAAATAGAACCAAATAAAAATAATCATGTTTGTGATGGATGACTCTCTGGGGATCCGAAAGCCGAAGACGAATGGATCGGGTCAGACATTGAGAAGGGGACCATCTCCCCAGACATGCAAAAGTTGTTAATAAAATAAGCTCAATACATATAACCCTACCAAGAAGAAATCAAGGCCATCGATTTGGAGGTAAGAGAAAAAGAAATAAGTATTGATACCCAAATCATTGATAATGTCAAGGATGGGATAGCACAAAAATTAAGGGAGTACATGGACGCATGTGCATGGTCTTACCATGACATGCCAAGACATCAGAATCCAACATCATAAGTCCTCTCCCTACCAACCTAAGATGAAGGGTGCATAGAGGCAACCAATTAGAACATCAAGAAGACCATCTAGAAGATGGTCAAAACCTGCAAAGATTGGCATGAAATATCGCCTTTTGCCCTTCATGGTTATCAAAGTTCCATACGGTCCTCCATAGGATCCACTCCATTTTCCCTGTATATGCATGGAGTCTGTACTACCAATAGAGGTTGAAATACTTTCCTTACAAGTTATCATGGAAGTAAAATTGACAAAAAGCTGAGTGGGTCTAAGGCCAATACAATCACTTGAATCTAATTGAAGAAAAACAGTTAAACGTCATACGTCATGAACAAAGCCTATCAAAAGAGGATTGAAAAAAAAAAACAAACTTACAATAAAAAATGTCAACCCCATATTTACCATGAGGGAGATTTAATGGTAAATAAATTGATTCCGGCCCAAAAAGACCAAATGGGAAAATGGGCAGCAAATTGTGAAAGACCTTTGCGGTTAAAAGAGCTTCCTCGGGAGGAACTCTTATCCTCACCGACATATACTGAAAAGAACTTTGACACCCGGTCAACCCCAATGTGGTGAAAAAGTATTATGCTTGAAGCACATTGCTCATACCCGCCAGGTTGAAAACCCGTAAAGGGCATCCTGGGTAAAAGTTAGGATCCACTCGCCTCGCTAGGATACGTCCTAGGCAGAATTTAGAGGCTTCAAAAAAAAGAGAGAGAAGAAAGAAAAGAGAAATGGTTGCCTTAGTCGAAAACTGGAAGGCGGCTAAGACAATATCCTTCCAGAAGCAGACAACCTTGCATAATCTTCACTCCAGGCTCGAACATCTCAACAGAAGCAACTACGAGAACCAGGGGGCAGATATCATAAACATGATTGTTGTAGCCCATACAGTTTAATGGCGAAAAAATTTCAAAATAACCTTAAGCTCTAGATACCATGTTGAATATAGAGGAAATACGGTTTGAGATTAATCTCCCTTGTATATAAATCACACATAGGGTAATCTATTTATAATAGAGAGATACAACTAAGAAAGTAATCGAAAGTAAATAAAATAAACAGAAAATATTGTTTGATATTGTAATTAACCATATCTAACAATATAATATCTAAACAATATCTAACAATTATCTTTTGACCTTATTAAATTCTCTATTAGCAATGTCTAATAATCGTAATGCTCATTCAACCTTGGAATTGCAGTAGTGTTAGTCATGATAGAAGTTTACAACTTCTTTTTAGTGGAAGTTGAAACTGACTCGATATCGCTTGTTATCTCGAAAACTTGATTATGTTATTTCTTCCTAAAATAATAAGCCTAAATATATAGATTTAGTTTTAAAACTGGATGAACTAGAGAAAATAGGAAAGATAACACCACATATTAACCGCTTGTGAAACACGTACAAATTTTAAATTATAACAAACAAATAAAATCTTATTATCTCAGGAACAACTAAAACTTAACTTTTTTTTTTTAATATCTCAATGCTTTAAACGAAAATAAAAATTGAGTAATTTTTGAATTAAATCTTTATAATTTATTTTATATTTTTAAAATTAAAATATTAATGTTAAAAATCTTATATCGTGTCATATAATATATAATATGATTTAAATAATTATTTTTCGTATTATCAAATTAGTTGTAGATTAAAATTTTAACTTGTATCACACGAGGTCAATTAATTTATTAGTTTCTTATATTTTTATAATTAAAATTCATTCATTTAAAAACTGAAGTTTATATTTTACAAGAAATTACTGATTTTTTAAAATTTTTATGAACATTTTTTTTATTTTTTATTTTGAATAACTAACTTGAAATGAAAAATCTTTGTCCATTTATCAATAAATCTTAATTATGATATATTATTTATTTTCTAATTTTTTATTTTCTTTTTTTCTTAATTGTTTGATAAAGAATAGTGGGAACGAGCATTCTCCTTTATCCGTTATTAGATATTCACCGTTTGGTATTAGAATTTGTATAATATTTTTGGAAGCTATCTTATATTTTCCAACAAATATTTTCACAGACCATACAATTTGTGGGTGCAAATAGGATTTGACGGAAAGTGTGAAGCCCATTTTAAGTTGGAGCTGCTTGGTACAAATGGTTGACTCATTTCTTTCTATTTAATTGGTAGTTATATTTTCTTTATCTAATATTTTTATTTAATGTATTATTGTAGAGTGTATATAAAGACATTGTCATATATTTTATAATATAATTTTTTTTCACTTTCATTATAAATCATAAATCTTAAAATCGTATTATTTTTTTAGTAAGTCATCTTAATTTTTATTTAAAATTAACGAAAGTTTCTTAATGTAAAATAAAACAATATTAATGTTTGAATATATATTCATCTCGCGTCACTTAGAAATTGAATAAATATTCATCTCACGTCATGTAAAAATTAAGAATAATCTATAAATATTTTAAGGATAAAATTATAATAATATAAAATTCTAAACAGATATAAGCCCTATAATTTTGAAAATTGATATTATATGTACTTTAGAATTTTAAAACAAGTATTATATCATTATATGATCCTTAAGTTATTAAGAATCATATTTTTCTTTAAATGATCTACGTACTTATATGAAAATTTCTATTATAAATATGCAAGTTTTACTTGTACCTTATTAATTATAGTAATAAAGTTTTAATTAATATAAATGTTGAAGTAGTCCATTCTAATCATGATTTTTATACTTAAAATCTACTACTATTTATGTAATTATGAGTATTTTAGACAGATTTATAATTTTTTTACCCAACACAGTTATATATTCAATTGTCATTGTTTATGAACCAAATATCTCTTGAAGAACAAAATCACCATTTCACACAGTTTAGGCTTCATGACAGCAGTACTAAGATTTTTCCTTGTTTAAAATACAGAAACCCTGCTTCTCAGAATCTCAAGTGCTCAACTGTCACTTCTTGAAATCTTATCCGAAAGGTTTGCTAGTGTAAATCCTGCAAAAACCTGCCTCCAAAATATCACCAAAGAATCAATTCTAAATAGAGCACACTAACTTTAAGAATTGAATTTATGAGCTTAATTTTTATAAAATATAGTTTTGCATAATTAACTAATAAGAAACTTTTATGGAGAACCACACTTGGAGAATGTATGCACTGTGAATTTAATTTATGAGTTCAATTTTTATATATTGTCAACTAAAAATCTTAAGTTATTTTAGATTGTAATTGGATAAATGAATAAGAGTATAAAAGACTTGTACACATGATCAATGCACACACTATTTTCTTTGAAATTATGAACAGTAAGAATTTTATCATCAATGCTCATTTATATATGTAAAAAAAGCTTGTATATTGTCAGTGTATTATAATTAAATTCTGCATATTATTGAAGAATTCATGGTGAACAAGAGAATTCAAACCTGAATGCATCCAAAGATGTACATTGCAGAGTACTTGCGGCCATGTATAACCATGTCAGCTATCATGGCAATAGGAATTGTCAAGGACATGCCCAATGTAGCTACCAAAGGAGTTGTCCAAACTATAGAAAGTGCCCTGTTACAACATTCATTGGAGTTGTTACATGAAATAGAGTTAATATTCTGTAATAACTGTTATCATATGATTATACTATGTGACAGAACTTTGAAGTATTACATATACGTATCATACTAGAATTCAGTTCTAATGTTATAACATTTTCATATGTCATTTGTTCATTATATAAAACATAATGCATTTATCATCTTGAAAGAAATGAAATACTGGTAAGCAAAATGTTTACCTAGAGCTTTTTCAATGAGCAGATGATGTTCAACTTACCATAAAAAATCTGAAATCACCCCTGAGAATATGCTATTTGCAATAACAATCTCCCAAGTGGAGATTGAACTTGGAAACTTGAAATAGGGTTCAATTCCCACAGCATTTAATGGCCATGCTGCATGGAAAGTTGCAAGAGCATCATTTTGAAGTTTGACAAAGAAATGAGGCAGGAAGTTTATAATCAAACACTGTAGTAGTTTGCAGTAAGCAAGTTATCCAATGCATTACATTAATGTGGTCGGTTGATGTGTATAACAATTGAGCAAAGGAGAAAAAGAGAAAAGAGAGAAGTAAAAGAGAACTAAACAAGGTCAAGGGTACAATTAGTGAAATTTGTAATCGTATTATGCTAAACAATCCAAAAAGAAATCGATACCTAGCCACCAAAAGCCAAGAAAACTGTAGAGACCAATGCAGCCAAAAAGCTTTTCCATGTCTACCTTCTCTCCAGATCCAGCAGAGTTCTTGAGAAGCACTGCGATTAATTTATCATTGATTGACAATGATATTCTAAGTCAAAATTTGAACTTAAACATATCTTATTCACCATTATGACATAGAATCTATTGCCAATTGATTATTTATACCTGTGAATAAGCCATAACATACTGCTGATAGTAGACCAAAAACATCGCCAATGATAGAATGCTTTCGAGTCCTTGGTAAGAAGAACAACTTCTAATTTCAGAAAGCGAAAGAATACAGACAAGACAATATAAAGGGAAACATACATTTACTTGGTACATCCATTTAGAACCACTACCAAAAATTGTTAAATTTCTTTGAGACAACCTAATGCCAAACTATTTTTTTTTTCTATTGTCTCTGCTTGCCAACAACTTGAATCTTTTAACACATATTTGCTAAGAGGGACAGAGATGGAGGCTGTACTCAACCACACTTGAGGATGCATATGTATAAATAAATGAATAAAAAGATTACTTAATGCAGATAAAAAAATTGAATATTGTGCTATTAGTATACTATGCATATTAACAAAATTAAAGGCTAAAATTCCTCACAGAAACTGAAATTCATTTTTCCTTCTTGAATTATGTATTTCTGCTCTCTAAATGATTGAAGGGTTTAAGTATTAGATGAAAGAGTTTTTGCTCCTTAAGAAGCAACTTTCAACTTACTCAGAGATGCTGATATGCCCATCTGCTACCCATGTTTTTCCAATAGTTGTCATGGCGACTCCAGCCATGCTGATTAAAACAGCTGTTGTTTTTGTTATATTTATTGACTCCTGGCCAAGCAGGGCTCCAAAGAAAAGGGTGAAGAGACCTGACATGGAATTCAGTACCGTTGTACTAGCAACACTAGTATTTGCAAGTGCCATATTTGAAAAATACTGCATGATACCAATCAAGTATAGGGAATATAATGAGTGAAACATCTTTAAAACTCATGATCATGCATAAATATCAGAAGAATAATTTTCTTTGTACTCATTTACTTTTGGTGGGGTAGAGGGGTGAGGCAGGAAAGAAAATATGTTCAAAGCTTTAAGAAACATTATCCAGATGTCATATTGGAACATGTATTCACCATTCTCAGTACAAATATTTTGAGAACACGAAACAAAATGAAAACAAGGTGATGTTTCTTGTAATTATAATGAAAACAAGAAAACCTAGTAGAAATTTTTTTTTTTCAAAAGAAACATGTTCTTAAGGTTCTCACCTCAAAATATCACTCTCCTACATCATCCACACAACTACTATCTATCAGTTTGGAAATCCACCAAAAGATCAAGCATGTCTCACTTTTCTAACTCCATATTTCCATGTTCTGAATGTTCAATCATAATGACCCTGTAACAAGCAATATATCCAATCTAGACTTTCTGGTAGTGGTAACATTGATATTGACTAAGCTATGTTGTACACTAATGATCCAGCTGCATTACGCCTACTTACATTCTCAATTCTCCAAAATAGTCGAAAAGGAAAATTGAAAGAGACATTGTTACCTCTTGTGCAAACCATATTGGAGTAAGGTACAAGCCACATTTAGCAATTTTCCATGAACTACTTTCATAACAATCTGCAAGCAAGGGAGGTTCATCTTTCTCTTTCTTAACTAAAGGCATCCCTTCTTCCATTTCTCTAATTTCGTTGTCAGTGATCAAACTATTTTTTAGATCAGTTTCTGGTCTTTGGAGAATCCCATCTGTTCTAACAGATGTATAGTCCTCATAAATTTTTCTAAACAAAATGTTCAATAAGCTGTAAATCCACTCTTTTATAACAGAAATGGGAAAATAGATCATCACCACAGATACTCCAAAGTAAGTTAGCGCAAAAGGCTGTTTATACTCCTCAAAAATCCTCTGCAATAAAGTATCGGAAAAAGCTTAGTATAAGTGTTTAACAAGTCTTATTGCATAATCAAACCATTCAGTTGTTAATGGTTAACCAAGAACAAGATTTAAGGAATAGAAGAACATAGAAGTTACACTACTACTGGTCCATTTTTGTTCTACTACAGGTTATAGCCCTAGCTCATTTGCCACATAATTTATCTTTTTCTTTTCCTTACCATGTATTGTTCCAGTTTGATGAATTCAGTTAAAACACATGAGTTCCTTGAAGTTAATCCTTCCCCTAAAACCTTATCAACAAGTCATCCTAAGAATAAATAATAAACTTAATAACAGTTCTTTGTACTTCATAAATCACACACAGTAATGTATTATTGATTATTATATGAAAATCATGGTAACACACAAGGCTTAACAACTCCACAGAATAAATGTTTCAGCTGATTGTTTGGGAGATTTTAACTGAAGTCAACTAATAAGAAAACTAAACTTTTAGAAAGAAACTTACTATATTGATATAACATAAGTCAAAGACTACTTACAATTGTGTTGTCCATTAAAGAAGAACATTACATTCAACCTTGATTTGTGTGACAATTTCACAATTATACAAATAAGATAGATGTCTGAAGGAACAACTTACAGTTCCAATAGGTTATAGATTCATAATTGTTTTCCTACTCTAAGAAATCACACTAAAGAACCTCTTCAAAACACCGCAAAGAAACATGAAACGTAGCATAACATAAACAACATAGCAAACCAAGAAGGGAGGAAAATAATACAGAAAAGAAAATTAGAAATAGGAAAACATAATTCAAACCTGAGTTATTTCTGCAGAACTAACCCATATTAAGACAAAAGCTCCAATAAGTCCCAACCCAGCATGGTACCTCCAACCCATTACAGAACTTTGTTACAAGTCCCTTATTCTATGTGTAAATATATACAAGCTGAGACTGACCCTACTTCTGCTAGAAATTTAGCATTGCCTTGTTGGCAATGACAAGTTGAGTTAATGGGATATATACATCAGGTATGCAAGCTGTTCTAGTATGTAGACTTGACATGCTGATTTTCCAAATAAAATAACCTGATTTTTGTTATCTTCAACCTTAAATATGTAAATGGTGGCACCAGAAATTATTATATGATCTGCATTATGTTACCATTTTTAGTTTTAATCAATTTTCACGTTACACTTATCTGAATTTTATAACAGATGGTAACTTACTAAACTCAATTTAATGTTAAACAGAGAGTAGTCTAGTCAACTAATATCTTTAACTAATTGTAACTTAAAACCTCAAATTAGCAATGACAATTCACCAATACACAAAAAATTTTCACTTTACAACACTCACTCACGTGTGAGAGTACTAAAACATGAAAATCTAAACCAAACTCACGTGTTAAATATTATCATTGCCTTTAGTTGTCGTTATCTTAAACCTTTAACAGGTGCCATTGCAAAACTTCAGTCATCTCTAGTCTCTGACAGGTGCCATTGCTAAACTTCAGTGCTTAACTATCGTGGAAACGAAGGATTTCAACATGTGTACATGACTCACTACTCGAGCAAAAGAACATTGAGAATAATCACTTATACACATCTATTCTTCTAGCGCTTACTATTCCACTACCATTTGCTTTAATTATGATAAATGAGAAATTGTCAATGCATCGATCTCGGCATGATTGATTTGTTTTTTTTTTTTTTTCTTCCTATCATGATAGTGTACATGTACTAATATATTTATAGGATGAGAACAGACGAGAAACCCTTTATGAAACGATAAAACTTTAATATAGATTGGGTGGAATGTAACCGGTTTAATGTTCAAGGTAACACATATGATCAAGTGACAAAGTAACGTGTATGAATTATTTGATTTTGATTATCGTTGTTTCATTTTTTTTAATTTTTATTTTTTTACAAAATTTTACACATATATAATTAAATAATATATAATTTAACAAGATTACATTATATAAATATTATAAAAACTGTAGTTGTTGATGTGTACATACATGCACACTTTGATATATGAATTATATTAACAAAGCTAATATATAAATTTTAAATAATTAAAATTAACATATATATTGTGAGTTCTAAATAAACTTTTATAGCACCTATAAAATTTAACATAATAACCAAAACTAATTATTTAACCAATTTTTATTTATTTATTAAAATATTTAAAATTTGAAACCATTAATTTAATTATTTAATATATACTACCCTATTATTCATAACTTTAATAAAAAATTCTCAAACATAACTTTTAATAGAATAATAGAAAACATGATTGCTAAAAAACATATTAAGAATAATTATTTAAATCTTCTTTAAAAATAAATAAAAATATAAAAAATATTTTTTCTTTAATAGGATTTCAAGTCATTTAAGAAAATTAAGAATTATATTTAAATATAAGATTAATGAAAAAAATTATAAGTTATTGATTGAGTGAATTATCACCACCCAAATAAAACTAAACACTTTTATCTTCCCATTTAACCCATAGAAGTATTATTTTAATAATGATCTAATAAATTTTGAAGTCTACATATAAATTTATCTATATACAAAGAATATTAAAATTATTTATTTTAAATGCATTTATTTATAATTTTTTAGAAAATAGTAGTAACAAGTTATAAAAGAAAAATTATTGAAAATAATAAATAAGAGATGTTGTCACGTGTGGAGTTGATTTTTATTTGGTGGATAGGTTGCTTAATATATAATATATAAATTTTATATTGAAGTATTTTAATATTTTTTTAAGAGAATTTCAAATTCCATAAAAATAAAGAATTTGAAATTCTTTTTTTTTCAATTTTTTGTTTTTTTTTATATTTTATCTTTTACTTAATTTCGATTAAAATATTTTCATTTATCTTCACACATTTTAATATGGACTGACCTAATTTAATATGGTTTAACCAAATCGACCTATCTTGACCAAATTCAAACCAATCCGATACGTTATGACTATTATTGAACCATCTTGATTCAACCTGCTCTTGATCTGGTCCATCCTGTATTAGTTTGATCCAACCTATCTCGACTCAATCCAATTCATCTTAACTTAACTTGTCATAACTTAATCAAACTCTTCTTGATCAAGTTCTACCCAATTAGTTAAAGTAGGTCTGATCCATCTCGATCCAACCTATTCCAACTAAAATCATCTTAGTCTGATTTGATTCATCTTGATTTGACCTCTCATAATCGACATATCTTATCTTGATCCTGACCCAATCTATTTAATCTTGATCTATCATATTCGCTTAGAACTTGACCTGACTCACCTGGACCTGTCACTCCTTAATTCTCTCCTTTGTTCATCCTACAACATAAAACAGAGAAGCCCAACGAATTCATTACTACCTGATGCAAATAGGAAAATCAAATACACAAAATATAACATGTAGCATTCCTTGTTACTTATAGTATAGTTTAAAGGGTGTAATTATCTCATCCTTTTATTGGGTTAGTTCTTATAAGTTTTTACATCTACACCCTTCTATTTTTATCAATTCCAACTATTGCTTTGATATTGTTTAGAAGACTTCGTCTAGAGCTTCCATAGAAGTAGTGGAGGTAGGTGTAATATCTCAGATAAAACAATGAAATAGAACAAAAAACATAAGAGGTAAGTGTCACTTCACAAACAAAAAGACTGTTCACAAAATTACTATTATTCTTATGCTATCACAGAATTTCAAACAATCCAGTGTTGAACGGCCAAGGTTAAATTCGTGATCTGCCACAAATGAGTAACGAAAACCTGTACCATGAACCCCAAACTGAGAATATAATCCAACCAAAAAAAACACATGTACATACATGTTATTCACTGTAACTCCACATCACCTTAAACAACAATTCTGGAAGTTATCACCGTTAATTTTCAATTAGGGGTGTTTGGAAGAGCTTCTAGACAATTTGTTTGAACTTATGAAAATTACAATTAATTGACAACAAACAACTCCAAGGTGAATATTATTGAATCTTTGTTATATTGAAAACTAAATTATATCTGTGTATTTAAATATTCCTAGGAACTATATGATACATCAAAATATATATTTCCTATATAAACCAAAGAGTCCCATAATAATGTTTCTTAATAACATTACTTTCTAAGCGTTCAAAAAATGTTTTCACACTAAAGAAATATTCTAATAAAAACTAATTAACTTATTATTAATTTTACCTAACAAAACCTCCCTGTAAAATTAATTCTCTGTATTAAAGAAACCTTTAGATCGGCTTGGTTCCAACCTTCCAACCTCCGAGTCCCAACTAGTCATCTTCTTGAGCACTCTGAGTTCCTTCCATCCTTCATTGTGATTAGTCTTCTATAACTTGATCTTTACTCATCACAGGTACGAGCTCCACATTCCTTACCTTCACATGTTCTCGAATGAAGTGAAAACATACATCAATATGCTTACTCCTTGATTGATCGGATTCTTAGTTAGTTCAATAGCCGACTTGTTATCAACTTGTACTCTAGTTGCATGGAGTTGTTTCTCCTCCACTGAGTTTAGCAAATTTCTAAGCCATACTACATGATACACACATCACGATGCTGTTACATACTCGACTTCACACATTGATAACGTTACTAGGGTTGCTTCTTTGAAATCCAGGTAAACACTATGTTATCCATGAAGAATACATACCTTGATGTGCTTTTTCAATTATCCATATCTCCAAACCAGTCATTGTCAGAATACTTGACAAGTCGGTAATTGTATGACCTTGTGTACCACAGTCCGAGAGACAAGGTGCCTCAGATATACTTCAAAATTCTCTTCACTACTTTCCAATGAGAGTACCTTAGATTTTTCATGAACCGACTAACAATCCCGACACTCAGCAACAAATCGGGTACAGTACTTGTGAGGTAACAAAGACTTCCAACTAAACTCCGATATTTGCTTGGATAAACTTTGTCTCCTCCATCAAATTTTGAAAGCTTTGTCTCTGGTTCCATGAGGGTTGATATTGAATTCCAATTAGTCATCTTAAACTTGTTCAAAATCTCCTTTTCATACACCTCTTGGGATACAAAAATCCTCGACTCCCCCTATCTTACTTCTAGACCAAGAAAAAACTTCATTATGCCAAGATCAGTCATCTGAAATTCAACTGCCATTGTTTGCTTAAATTCCTGAATCATTCTAGGATTATTTTCCATAAGAATGAGATCGTCAACATATAGAGCAACAAATATCACATTGCCTCCATTCTTTTAGATATAGAGCATGTTCATGGGGACATTGCATAAATCTGATCCCTTTGAAGTAGGCATCTACTCGATCGTTTCATGTGTCGAGGAGCTTGTTTTAGCCCGTAAAGAGCCTTCTTCAATCGCAAAACTTTCTCCTCCTCGCCTTTATTCACATATCTGAGTGGTTGCTCAATATACACCTCCTGATGTAAAATAAAGTAAGGTGGAGAATTTTAAGCAATAAAGTAAGCAAACTCAAGAAAAATTCCCATTAGACATTAAGATAGTTGTCTATCTAGATGTGAAGGTTCATTTCCAAGGATTATGGAGGGAGGAGGAGATGAAATGAAACTAGAACAGAATAAAGACAAGGGCTGAAAAAATGGAACAAGCCCTTGGATAAATAAATGGAGTGAAGAAACAAAGAAGAAAAGATGAAGAGAAGAAAAGTATGGTGGTGGTGGAGTATTGGCATGCCACTATGGGATGAACCACCCTAGATAAGTGGTGGTTGTCGCCACTTGAACCAAGGTTCAAGATAAGACACTCAAAGAGATGAACCACTCTAAAAAACCTCACAAACTTGTCATAAATGTTCAACCTAATTACATGTGGGGAAGCTTTCTACTTACAGGCTTTTGGGGGAGGGACC